CGAGGCGCCGCGGGGAGGAGGGAGCGGGAGGGGAGGGAGCAGGACCGGGGATCCGCACGTGTGTCCAGCCTTCCGTGTCACTCTGCTTTTTTGATAAAAATCTGAAAGGAGAGAGGGCTGGGATGAGAGGGACGCAGGAGGCAGCGCGGAGCCCCGGGCCCGGGCAGCTAACGAAGCCCGGCTTACCTCGCTCAAGATGATCCACACTGGGGAGTCGGTCTGGATGGACAGCCTGATGGCCTCCAGCGGCCCGAAGGACGGGTCCACCTCGCCCTCTGCAACGCCTTTGGAGAAGGAGCCTGGTGGGGAGAGCACACGGGTGATGCGGGGACGGTCCCCGGGCAGCCAGCCCCGCTGAGGGAACCACGAGCAGCCATGGCAGCCGCCTGCCCACAGCTCCCCGACATGAGACGGGCTGAAAAACAGCAGCCTGGGCATCAATACAGTGCAAAATGCAACACTTAGGGGAACAAAAATTCAGCTAAATAAAACAAAATGGAGAGTATTTGGCTACACAACACTGCGGGGCAAAAGGGGGGCCGAGTGGCCTGGCAGCAGCACTGTCCTGTAAGAGACAAATGTCGGTTCAGGATCCACGCCATGGAGGCAAGTCTTACAGCCGTAGTGCTTGCATGGTCTCAGCCTGTTGCGAGGTTCCATTTTTGGGTGTGATTTTTTTTTTTTTTTGAAAATGCAACTGGGAGAAAACAGACAGCATGCCAAGGAATGCTGAAACGGCAAAAAGCTAGGCATGCCAGGGAATTTTTCTTTTTTTTGTCTATTTAAAAAAAAAAAGAAGTCTTAGCAGGGAAACCAGGGCTTTACCATGCACCGGCGGGTCCCTGTAGGCTGCAATCACTTGTCTTGTCCAAGGGCAGGACAAGCACTAAAACAAGCTCAGGTGGCAGGAGGCAAAGTCCAAGCTGCACGTGGCGTGTGTACGAGACAGGCTGTGGAGGGAGAGCGTGAAATCGCCCGCAGTGGAGGCTTTTAATGCCAGGTTAGGCAAATGGATAATCTGAATAATTTGGTCCCAGCTCTGAGAAGAGACAGACAGAAATGTCGGCCTGAAAACTACCCAAAGAGGACAGTTACTTAGTCTAAGAGGGGAAGGAGGGCAGTGGAGGAGCGGAGACAGTGACAATTAAATCCTGTTCCAACCTGGTTCCTGGCAAGCAGAAATTACTCTTTGCCAAGCAAACAGCACTAAGGGTCTCAGTTCACTTGAAGGTGAAGATAAGGGCCGTGTTATCAAACCCAGCGGGCAGTTTACCGCCCCGCGCCCTGCTGTACCTATCTGGATGTAGCCATCCGGCGTCCTGCGGTATTTGACAACTGTGCCTCTTCCTTCCTGCAAGGCTTCCTTATCCGCCTGCAGGCTCTGTGGGGAAGAAAGGAGCTTTGTGAAAGGCTCAAAGGCAAGAGCCACCAAAAGCCCCAAGCAACAGCAGCAACCTCGGAGCTGCCCTCACCAGCAGCCCTTGGCACCTCATCCCCTGCCTGGTATCCCAAGCCTCATGCCCCAAAACAAGAGGACATTTGCTGCCCTCATGCTGCTGCTCCCACTGTACCATCCTGGCTCCATCCCCTCCTCTGCAGCCGCCCCATCCATCTCAGCATCCCCTCTGCAGGCACAGATGGCTCCTATCGCGACTGCTCAGCACAGCATCCCCGCTCCCCAGGCGGTACCACACCAGGCGTGACCCCCTGGCTCCCAGCCAGCACCTCGCAAAGGCATTTGATTCTTGTAAAGATTTTCCTGACGGCTTTAAACAGTTCCCTTCTCTCAAACCTCTTTTGCTGCCCACTCCACCCCCATCATAATTCTCCATAAAACACTTACGTCAAACGGCAAAACCTCCACAGTTGTATTGAAGAGTTTGTCTTCTGGGTGCTCGATGTTCCCGCTGCGGAAGAAGAACCTGTGACAGAGACCAAAGCCACGGAAGCCCACACTGAGTTGAGGGGGTACATGATGGCTTTCACCCCAGCTGAACCGCCAAACAGCTCAATCTAACAGGCACCTTCCCAAAAAGCTGACAGGCACATGGTTTGGAAGGAGCCCTTCTGCGCCACATTAGCTGAAGGATGGATTGCTCACAAGCAGAGGAAAGCAAAGGGCTCTGGCAAACGTGGCCCCACCAAAAAATGCTCAAGTTATCATCCCCCTGGAAGCGCACTGCTCCCTCCTCCTGGGCAGCCAAGCAGGAGACAGGCAACAAATTCAACAAGAGCCAGAAGAGCAAACAGAAAGTGTCTCCACATGCTCCAGGCTGTCCCCATGTCCTCCCCTGCCAGCCCCTCCCCAGGCACTGGCCTTTCGATGCGGAGCGGTTTGAAGAATCTGAATCTGATGAAGTCTCCAGCAGTGGGAGTGAAGGCCCAGAAGAAGTCCTCCCGCAGGTAAGCCTTCTCCAAGGTGAAGTGCTGGTAGGTTTTCAGGCTGGTGCTCACCTCCGCGGGAGGGTTGACGTGCTCCTTCCGCAGGGCCTGCTTGCCGAAGTCCTTGTCCTTGGTGGGCAGAAAGCAAAAGGGCAGAAAAGGGTCATGAGCTGCTCTTGCCCATGAGGAACAGGGGTCTCAGCACCAAGGCACCACAAATTCAAAGCTCTTGATTTGCACAGTGCAGAAGGATGGGGGATGGAAGTGATGCAGGGAAGGCACCAGACAGGACAATGTGTGGCTGGATCCCAGGAGGACATAACTTCAGGGGAGGCAGCACAGAGAAGCACCACTGCTCTGCACTCTGATCTGGCACTGAAGAGCCTTTCATTGTCCAAGTGTGCCCGAACGCATGTCCCTGCCCCAGGAGTTCTGCAAACAGTCCTTACACCTGAGGAGAAGGTGGCTGGGAGGCTGACGAGAGCATAAAATGACTGGATTACACAGCCTGACGGGCACGGCGCTGCGACACAAACTGCATTACACCATCCATTTACCTGGGGATTGGACAGACACAGGACTAAGCACCGCCCATGGATGCGTGTCTATGGGTCCTGCACATAGCTGTGGGAAGCTGGATTTTGTTGATGTTTGAATACACACAATTTAAGCTCTTACGCAGCAAGCTCTAGTTTGCTATCAGCAAATCCCAGGAATAAGGAGCGGGGTGGGAAGGAAGTCAGACCAACCCAGGAGTCATCTCTCCAGGGTTTTTCGATGCTTCGAAATCACTTGCCCAGACCATGGTTCAGCACTCAGAATGGGTGGCCAGGACCAGTACCAAGGCTTAAAAGCCTGCAGCAACTCTTGGTACATGTCACTGCCATGCTGAGAAGTAGGAGCTACGTAAGATCACTGTAATTCAGAATAAAACACAACCTGCATAAAAATCCAGCTGCCACCATCCCACCAGTTGCTATCACTGATGTCCACACCCCAAAACCAGCCAGTTCCCAGGTGCCTGCAGGCCAGACCTGGCAGAAAGGCTGCCTGCAGCTTGGGCAGGTACCCACCTTCAGCTTCTGTATCTTCCCAGCCAAGGAGGAGTGGGTTCCCACGTGCTGGAAGAGCGAGGGCTTGAAGCGGATCCTCAGGTTTGCCTTCTGCCTGTCGCAGTGTTTCTGAAACAAGACAACCCTGCAGTGCCCCGTGCTCAAACCTCTGCAGTCAGCTGTGACCCACGAGAGGAATGGACGAGGGCACGAGGAATGACAAACATCCCTGCCTCTCCATCTCTATGCCTTACTGTGTTGTAAGGCAGTAACACATATGCCTATGTGTTATTTTGGCTTTAATTTGGCAAGAGGGCTTTTAACCGCACTCCAGAGGAACCTGACCGTGACTCTCGGCCGGTCACCCGTCAGGCTCTGCTGGGCAGCCGGAGGGCCCAGGTTTAAGTGCCAAATGTCTCCTTGCCAGGCATAGCTTAGCAAACGCTCAGCAAATCTCCTCTGGGTGCCATCAGGTAGGGACAGCCAGATAATTTTCTTTCTTTTTTCCTTGGCTTATCACGACAATCTTTTTCCTACAACTCAGAGCTCGGGACCACCGATGTCTGAAGGTACAGTAAGTCCTGGGATGATTCAGAGCCTAAGCAAACAGGTAGCAATTGCAGGCTCTTTTCAGTTCATTTCTTTCAGTTTGGGGGAGCAGGACAAAAACACAGGGTTAAAAACTGGAGGGAGAGGGTATTTGTTTTCTGAATTTTGCTTTTTCCAAGAAAAGAAACACACGCACACCTCTACTACCATCTGCTCTCACAACCTCCCACCCAAGAGCAACCCCAGCAGAAATCCCGCCGCCGGGTGCTG